GTTCAGTTTCCATGAAGCTGTGTGGTTCTGAGTTAGTTTCTGAATTCTGAGTTTTAACTTGATTGCACTGTGGTCTGAGAGACTGTTTGTTACGATTTCCGTTCTTTTGCATTTGCTGAGGAGTGATTTACTTCCAATTATGTGGTCAATTTTAGAGTAGGTGTGATGTGGTGCTGAGAAGAATGTATATTCTGTGGATCTGGGGTGGAGAGTTCTGTAAATGTCTATTAGATTTGCTTGGTCCAGGTCTGAGTTCAAGTCCTGGATATCCTTGTTAATTTTCTGTCTGGTTGATCTGTCTAATATTGACAAATGGGGTTTTAAAGTCTCCTACTATTATTGTGAGGGAGTCTAACTCTCTTTGTAAGTCATTAAGAACTTGCCTTATGTATCTGGGTGCTCCTGTATTGGGTGCGTATATATTTAGGATCGTTAGCTCTTCTTGCATTGATCCTTTTACCATTATGTAATGTCCTTCTCTGTCTCTTTTGATCTTTGTTGCTTTAAAGTCTATTTTATCAGAGACGAGAATTGCAACTCCTGCTTTTTTTTGCTTTCCATTTGCTTGGTAAATCTTCCTCCATCCCTTTATTTTGAGCCTTTGTGTATCCTTGCATGTGAGATGGGTTTCCTGGATACAGCACAGTGATGGACTTTGTCTTTTTGTCCAATTTGCCAGTCTGTGTCTTTTCATTGGGGTATTTAGTCCATTTACATTTAGGGTTAATATTGTTATGTGTGATTTTGATACTGCCATTTTGATGCTAGCTGACTGTTTTGCCCATTAGTTGCTGCAGATTCTTCATTGTGTTGATGCTCTTTACCATTTGGTATGTTTTTGGAGTGGCTGGTACTGTTTGTTCCTTTCTATGTGTAGAGCCTCTTTCAGGAGCTCTTGTAAAGCAGGACTGGTGGTGATAAAATCTCTGAGTATTTGCTTGTTTGCAAAGGATTTTATTTTTCCTTCAAACTAACAAAGCTTAGTTTGGCTGGATATGAAATTCTAGGTTGAAAGTTCTTTTCTTTAAGGATGTTGAATATTGGCCCCCACTCTCTTCTGGCTTATAGGGTTTCTGCTGAGAGATCTGCTGTGAGTCTGATGGGCTTCCTTTTGTGGGTAACCCGACCTTTCTCTCTGGCTGCCCTTTGCATTTTCTCCTTCATTTCAACCCTGGTGAATCTGATGATTATGTGCCTTGGGGTTGCTCTTCTTGAGGAATATCTTTGTGGTGTTCTCTGTATTTCCTGGACTTGAATATTGGCCTGCCTTGCTAGGTTGGGGAAGTTTTCCTGGATAATATCCTGAAGAGTATTTTCCAGCTTGGATTCATTCTCTTCGTCACATTCGGGTACACCTATCAAGCGTAGATTAACTCTTTTCACATAGTCCCACATTCTTCAAGACTTTGTTCATTTCTTTTTACCCTTTTTTGTCTAATCCTGCCTTCTTGTTTTATTTCATTGAGTTGATCTTCAGCCTCTGATATCCTTTCTTCTGCTTGGTCAATTCAGCTGTTGAAACTTGTGCATGTTTCATGAAGTTCTCGTGTTGTGTTTTTCAGCTCCATCAAGTCATTTATATTCTTCTCTAAGCTGTTTATTCTCATTAGCATTTTGTTAAACCTTTTTTCAAGGTTCTTAGTTTCTTTGCATTGGGTTAGAACATGTTCATTTATCTCACAGAAGTTTCTTATTACCCACCTTCTGAAGTCTGATTCTGTCATTTCATCACACTCATTCTCCATCCAGCCTTGTTCCCTTGCTGGTGAGGAGTTGTGATACCTTGTAGGAGGAGAGGCATTCTGGTTTTGGGTGTTTTCATCCTTTTTGTTCTGGTTTCTTCCCATCTTTGTGGATTTATCCACCTGTCGTCTTTGTAGTTGCTGACTTTCAGACTGCGTCTCTGAGTGGACGTCCAGTTTATTGATGATGAAGTTATTTCTGTTTCTTAGGTTTCCTTCTAACAGTCTGGCCCCTCTGCTGTAGGACTGCTGAGGTCCACTCCAGGCCCTGCTTGCCTGGGGATCACGTGCAGCAGCTGCAGAACAGTAAGGGTTGTTACCAGTTTCTTCTTCTGCTATCTTTGTCCCAGAAGGATACCCACCAAATGTCAGTCTGATTTCTCCTTTATGAGGTGACTCTTTGGATATACGGGGGTCAGGGAGCTGCTTGAGGAGATAGTCTGTCCTTTATAGGAGCTCAAGTGCTGAGCTGTGAGCTCTGTTGTTCATTCAGAGCTGCTGGGCAGGTACATTTAGGTCTGCTGCAGCAGAACTCATAAACCGCTTTTTGTTCCCAGGTGCTCTGTCCTGGGGAGTTAGGGCTTTATGAGTTTCCGTTGTGCTGCTGCCTTTTTTCTCCAGGGCTGCCCTGCCCAGCAAGGAGGCAGCCTAGTCACTGCCTGTAGAGGCTTTGCTGAGCTGCTGTGGGCCCTACCCAACTGCCGTGTGAACTTCCCTGCAGTTCTGTTTATATGGGTGTAGTTAGAACTGCCTCTGCAATGGTGGCCCACCTCTGTATTGGTGGCCTCTATCTGTAATGGCAGGTTGTGTTGGCAATGGCAGGCTGCCTCAGCAATGGCGGACTATCTCCATAGTGGTGGAGTGCCTCGGTAATGGCAGATGCCCCTCCCCCACAGAGCTGGACTGTCCCGGGTTTGGGTGGGCTTGCTGTGAAACTCTCAATCCAGAGAGTTTCTGATTGCTGTTCTTTTGTGGGGGTGGGAGCAGCCGAGCCTGAGCACCTCTCCACCTCCCTCAGAGCTTTTTTTTTTTTTTTTTTTTAGTTGAATAGTCGACCCTCTCCCAGGTGTTCCAGTCGCCTGTAGAAAAGGCGCCGGGATCTGTGTGATTTCCTGTGCCGCGACTCACTGTGCCAGCTTAAACAGCAGCGCTGAGATTTGTGGCGCTTTTTTTGCCTAGGAATCTCCTGGCCTGGCTCCCTGTTCAGTCCCCCTTTTTAATCAGATGAATGCGTGACTTCCTGGGGCTCCAATCGCCAGCTAAAAGGGCACCCGGACCAGTGTATTTTGTATGGAAAACCGCTGCGCGGGGCTCCGGCAAAGCAGCCGAGCTGGCAACCCGTGGGCCTTCTCTGCCTGGGAATCTCCTGGTCTGTGGGCAATAAAAAGTCCGTCTGGAAATGTGGTGTCCACTCACCCTCTGCGCTTTCACTGGGAGCTGCAATCCTGAGCTGTTCCTAAAAGGCCATCTTGGATCTTCCTCAATAGTTCTTAAAAAAACATGGCTTTTTGTGTTTTCTAGTAATGACTTTGAATGATTTTAGTAATTTTTATTTAAAAAACAGCTAACCTCCTTCGGAAAATGTCTGTTACTTTATCGAAACAGAGATAGTTGGACCAATGGTAAGTTCTTTTACGTTTAAAAACTGTTCTGGGCCGGGCACAGTATCTTACCCCTGTAATCCCAGCACTTTGGGAGGCCGAGGCAGGTGGATCACTTTGAGGTCAGGAGTTCAAGACCAGCCTGGCCAGCATGGGGAAACCCGGTCTCTACTAAAAATAGAAAAATTAGGTGGGCGTGGTGGCAGGAGAATCGCTTAAACCCAGGAGGCAGAAGTTGCAGTGAGCCAAGATTGCACCACTGCACCCCAGCCTGAGAAACAGAGCAAAACTCCGTCTCAAAAAAAAAAAAAAAAAAAGTGTTCTGTTGAAATTATTAGCATACTTTCTATAAAGAATAAAACAGAAAAACAGCCAGGCATGGTGGCTCATGCCTGTAATCCTAGCACTTTGGGAGGGCAAAGCAGGTGGATCATGAGGTCACGAGTTCAAGAGCATCCTACCCAACATGGTAAAAACCTGTTTCTATTAAAAATACAAACATCAGCCAGGTGTGGTGGCATGCACCTGTAATCCCAGCTACTCGGGAGGCTGAGGCAGGAGAACTGCTTGGACCTAAGAGCCAGAGGTTGCAGTGAGCCCAGATCATGCCATTGCACTCCAGCCTGGGAGACAGAGCAAGATTCTAAAAAATGAAAAGAATACAGCAGAAAAACACCTAGAACATACTTCCAACCTTTCTAGTCCTCAACAGTAAGAATGTGAGAAGCATGTGATATGAAAAAAAATTACTTTTCTGGAACCATTGATCATGAATCCTAGTTATGACGTAAAGGTTAACAAAGTTTAGTAATACATTAAGTTAAAATGTTTACAAAGAATTATAAAGAAATGGTGTCTGGAGATTTCAGTGTTAAGGCTTGCTGCCTGTCTGTGAACATGTAGCATATTAGTTGTGAGTTTATAAAATGCGTGATCAACCTTTTCCTATATTTACATTGCTTTTCCCTTTTTATTTCCAAGTTTCGAAATTCTTGAACAAGTCCCCATTGCGAGTTTTGGGGGTAACAGTGCAAAGAAGGGTGCAGGCGCAGAGGTCCGGCCTGTGCTTGCAGTGCAGTTTTAACAAGCTCCCCGCGGATGGCTTCCATTCTAGTAACAACACTGGACAGGCAAGTAAGAAGTTAGCACTGCCTTCACTTCCTCAACCTGGAGTTTTTTTCTGGAGTGAATGTATCAGGCTATTGTGTAAAAATGCTTTTGTTACCCCAGCTTAGAATTATATGCGAGAACTTTTAAGAATTCTTAATTCTGAAGCGAGGCTAGAGTTTGCCATTTTATATATTTCAGCAAAGTCAACTTATTCAGGATTTATTTCATCTAACTTATACATAGGTTTGGAAAATAAGAAAAAATTCATTACCCTCCTGCAAACGTAAAATCCAACAAAATTACTTAAACATCTGAGGTGCTTTTTCTCAATTTAATCATAAACAATCTACAACCATTTTGCTGCAAATTCTCTTTAAAAGGGCTCCAAAGAGTTACTGAATGAATGGCTAGTAAGTAGAATGTAAATATCTGTTATTCTAGAGTAGCCCACTCTTGAGTTATAAAGAGAGATGACCTACATCTAACAAGAATAAATGTGGACACTGTTGGGAATAATATTAAGAGGAATAAAAGAAAATTGGGGCACTGCAGTTTAAAGTATAACTTTATTTCTATACAGCTGAAGATTTTTTTCACTAGTACAAAAAGGTTTTATAGTAAAAGTCCATGTATTTTTAAAGAATGGAAATTGACAATTTTTATAGGTAACTAAATTGAAAAAGTTTACCTTTTTCCTGTTTTTTTAATAATGTCTGATTAGTAATTACCTTTAAATCATTCAAATGAGATTACTGAAAATTTAAACAATATAATATCAACAATTTTACTTTTGATGTGTTTCCAGCCATCTATTGATGGCCATTTTCAGAGTCCTATTTGGTGTAAGTACCACTGAAGGAAGAACAAGATTTGTCATGGGACTCGTACGTTTCTTTGTTCTGATCCAATTTTCCATTGCTTCCTTTTCATAAGAATAGCCATCTGAAAAAAAAAATCATACAAATTACATGACGTAGGAAAGAGAAATTAGGATTACTAAAATGAATGAGTGCAAAAACTCTTTGCAGAGGCCTTTATTGTGACTTAAATGGTATTCCTCTTCTGTACCACCACTCCCAAAAATCTCTGCCAAAACATCTGAAAAGCATTAAGATTGGATGGAGATGTATGAAGCAAAAATTACCCAGAAGAGTAACATAAACTCTTTGAACGGTACAACTGGGACAGGGACCCTGTCACATTCAGACACAGTGGAAGAGAAGAAAGGAACAGAGTTGGTGGAGTGGGAGTGAGGATAAACTGCCCATCAGAGCTGCTGAAAAGAGCCTATGACGCAGCAAAACTTTTGAACACCTTGAAAAGTCAGGAAAACAGATACTCACCCAGAGATGACAGAATTTACCCCACTAAGGATTTGACAGTGAAGGGACTTAGGTTTTTTTTTAAATCCACTGGCAATTTTTTTTTTTTGGCCGGGGAGGGGAAGGGAGAACCAAGTCTTACGCTGTCACCCAGGCTGGAATGCAGTGGTGAGAGCTCAACTCACTGTAAGCTCCGCCTCCCAGGTTCAAGTGATTCTCCTGCCTCAGCCTCCTGAGTTAGCTGGGACTAAAGGTGCCTGCCATCCTACCCAGCTAATTTTTTGTATTTTGAGTAGAGACAGTGTTTCACCATGTTAGCCATCTGGTCTCAAACTCCTGACCTCAGGTGATCCACCCGCCTCGGCCTCCCAAAGTGCTGGAATTACAGGTGTGAGCCACTGTGCCCAGCTGCTCAGGTTTTCTTAACACCGTATTCTTACAAAATTCTTTGCCTTTACACATGTAAAGACTGGACTTTTGCTTCACTACTTTCATTTTTATACTTGTAGCTGTTTTTCAAGCTGAAAACTTTGGTTGCTGATTTCATTTACACGTTTAATGTACAGTATATGTTGTTTCAAAATAATGCTAATATATTTACTAACATAAAACTGAAAGATATTTAAGTTTACATTACGGTTCTTTCTGTCATCAAGGTAAATTCACTAGAGTGGTCTCAAAATACTGTGTTCGAAAACCACAGTAAAACTATAAGCTGCGCATGGTGGCTCCCACCTGTAATCCCAGCACTTTGGGAGGCTAAGGAGGGCAGATCACTTGAGGTCAGGAGTTTTAAGATCAGCCTGGCCAACATGGCAAAACCCATCTCTACTAAAAATATAAAAATTAGCCGGGCATGGTGGCAGACACCTGTAATTCCAGCTACTCAAGAGGCTGAAGCAGGAGAATCACTTGAGCCCAGGAGGTGGAGTCCCAGTGAGCTGAGATCATACCACTGCACTCCAGCCTTGGTGACAAAGCGAGACTCCATCTAAACTAAAACAAGGTACCTTCAGAAGGGTCTAATCTAACCCTGTCCAATCCTTGTTCCCCACCCTTCCTATATAAGTAACCATGTGTAATCCATTTTTGAAACATACGTATATGTACACACAGTCCATATTCTACATAACAGCATACTAGCCACACTAGTTTGCACCTTGGTCTATTTATTCTCCCCACAGTACTCCACTGAATAGATGTACTGATAGACATCTGTGTGGTTTCCAATCTTTGCCTTTTACAAACAGTGCTGTACCAACACAAACCCAAGGAAAACACCACACACAAAACACAAATAGTGCTACAACGAAGTCTTGTGCATGTGTCACTTTTGTTTTGGGGAGATTTCAGAAGTACAATTCCTAAAGCAGCATAATCTTGCTAGATAGTGCCAACTTACTTCCACAGGAATTCTACATTTTTCATTCCTACTAGCAATGTTTATGAGAATGCCTTTTTCCCCTACAGTTTAACCAACAGTGTATGTTGTCAAACTCTTGGATTTCTGCCAGTCTCTAGGTAAGCAACAGTACAATACATCAGATGGAGAATCTTTTGTTAACATGTTTGAGCCATTTGCTTTTCTTTTTCCTGTGAGCCATTCATATGTTTTGCCCATTTTTCTATTAGGTTGTCCTTAAGATTTCATAGATGTGGAATATCAACACTTCATCAATTTCTCCCTTGATTCCCGGATAGTGAAGTTTTCTCAATTCCTATCAAGGAATTTGCCTACATTGTCTTTGAAGAGATGGGGTCCTGCTGGTCTCAAGCTCCTGGGCTCAAGTGACCCTCCTACATCGGCTTCCAAAATAGCTGGGACTCCAGGTGAAGCCGCTGCACTCTGCAAATTTCCCTTTTTATGTGTGGGTTTCTGATTCATTGGGAATTAATTTAAATGTATGGCATACAGGATGAATCCAATTTTATCCCTTTCCACACGGTGGTTCAGATGTCGAAATACCACTTGTTGGAAATAATTTTGCCACTGATTTAAAATGCTATCCTTATCAATCTCTAAATTTCCAAATGCATATGGATCGATTTCCAGATTTTAAACTTTTCCATTGTTTTATTCCTGGGCCAACACTACACACTGACTTATCGAGGCTTCTCGACATATAACTCTCATAGGTTAGCAACCTTCCTCATTTTTTCCCCCAAGGTTATTTTTGCTGAATAATCACCTCGTGTATCTCTCCGCAAAAAGTTTTATCAGGATCACGTCAAGCCTGTAAAATGGAAAAAGCTGACATTGACATCCCATTGCCACTGAGTCTTCCTAGCCCTCAGCGTGCTGCGCCTGCCATTATACTTTCACAGGCATGTTTTCGTTTTTATGTAGGTTTGAAAGTTTTATGTATTTCTTAAGTTTAGGGTTTTGGTGTGTTTCCTTTTTTCCTGAGACAGGCAGGGTCTCACTCTGTCACCCAGGCTAGAGTGCAGTGACATGATCGCAGCTCACTGCAGCCTCTACCTCCCAGGCTCGTGATCCTCCGAGATTATCCTCCAGAGTAGCTGGGATTACAGGCACATGTCACTACACCCAGCTAATTTTTTAAACATTTTTGTAGAGAAGTGGTTCTCACTGTTGCCCAGGCTGGTCTAGAACACCTCAAACAACATTTACAGACATGGATTATACTGCACCCAGCCACATTTAGGGTTTCGTTTGTTCCAGAGTCTCATTTGTTCTAGTTTTTGTTACTGTAACCTGGGCATTCAGTTATACCTTTTAAGTGCTTTGGTTTACTCAATGTTTTAACTTGCTACTTTGCCAAATTCATATTGTTTGTAGATTTTTCTTCTTTTGGGCTTTCTACACATACGATTATATAGAAAGGGTTTGTCCCTTTCAAGTTTTATTTTGTGGGGCGGGGGGCAGACGTGAGGGGTGGCTAATATTTCTAAAACGATAGCTGAGAGCACCCCTTACATTCCTGACTGTAATAGGAATACATACCAAGGTATATGTATTTTTTAAGAAAGTCAGCCAGGCTCAGTGGCTCATGCTTATAATCTGAGCACTTGGGAGGCCAAGGTGAGTGGATCACTTGAACCCTGGAGTTTAAGACCAGCCTGGGTGACATGCCAAAGCCCCAGTCTCTGGATTGTTTTGGTTGCTTCGCATCTGTTTTACTTTTGCCTCCTTACAGACACTGGCAGCCGCTGCGTAACTCCCCCACTTTGGGGTTCTGAGTTCTGACTCTGAGAGATGGAGGTTCTGAGAAACTCAACTTATGTTTCCTCGGTCTTAGAGAGGGAAACATGCTTTCTGCAGATACTGTTACCTGTGACTGCCTTTTTGCTCTTTTTGAGATATATTTCACACTATAAAATTCACCCATCTGTGGTTCTTGGTATGTTTCCAAGTTGTATATCACTATACCCATTAGCAGTCACTGCCCCCTCAGCCCATGGCCACCTCTAACCTACTTTGTCTCTATGGATTTGCCTGTTGGGGGCATTTCATATAACGGCAATCACGTACTATGCAGCCTTTGGTGTAGGGCTTCTCTCACTTACCATAATGTTGCCAAGGACCATCCTCTGTTGTATGGCTATACCCCTATGTCATGCATTCACTTGTTGATGGATATGTGGGTTGTTTCCACCTTTGGGCTATTAATAATGCTGCTGTGCTTGTACAACTTTTTGTATGAGCATGTGTTTTTAATTCTCTTGCCTATATACTTAGGAGTGGAACTGTGGTAACTTTTTGAGGAACTTCCAAACCGTTTAATAGCAGCCACACACAAAGGTTTCATTTTCTGCACATCCTTGCCAACACATATTTTCCTACTTTTAGATTATAGCCATCTTAGCAGGTATGAGATGATTTTGATTTGCATTAATGACACTGACCATCTTTTGAAGTACTTATTGCCAAATAGCATATTAGACTGTTGGAGGGCACTGTTACCTATATTAACTTCTTTAATCTACACAGCAACCTTATGATATAGATATTGTTAGCATTCCTATTTTACAAATGAGGAAACTGAGCCACGGCCTGAATAACTTTCCAAGGTCACACAGGTAGGGAGTAACTGACCTGGGATTTAAACCCAAGCGGTCTGGCTCCACAGATAATGCTCTTATTCTTCCTGTATATGGGATGTCCAGAAAAGACAACTATAGTAACTGAAATTAAAAACAAAAAAACTCACTGGACAGGTAAAAACAGCGGTTAGACAACTGCAGGAAAGGCAGCTGGTAGGCAGGTCCAAGAAAAACACCCAGAAAGGCTTAAGAGAGAAGGTACAGGGGATGAGAATGGCCGAAACATGTCCAGAAGTGGTCAAGGCATGAAAGAGAAAAATCTACAAAGACAAATCCTATGAAACAAAAAATAGGAATTAGACAGACAGTATACTTGAACTGCAACTGGACAGCATAAGTATGTTTCCTATGCATAACCAAGCTAAAACACTGACGGCTCTAGAGAAACAGCAGAGCAGGCAGATCAGGTTTAGGAGGTTTTCACATGTTCAGAACAGACCTGAAGGAACTAACAGAGATGGGACATCCACCCGTGCAGGGCTGTCATTTCCACTCATTTCTTTAGCCCTAGTGAACATGTAGTTTACAGGTTTCCTGTAATTCTAACAAAAATACCACTTTATGTTGTAACATTAGGCATGGTCACACATGCCTGTAATCCCAGCTATAGGGAGGCTGAGGCAGGAGAACTGCCTTAACTCAGGAAGTGGAGGTCTCAGTGAGCTGAGATCATGCCACTGCATTCCAGCCTGAATGACAGAGTGAGATTCTGTCTCCAAAAAAAAAAAAAATCTGGACAGCTAAATTGGCAAAAATGACCAAGTCAATTTTTTTTAAAAATTGCTAAAACTAAAAAATGGCCATAACTAAAACTAAAAATGTACAGCAGTGCCTATCAGTATTAGAAATTTATGCAAATGTACCTGTAAATACTATGTGATTGAGGATGTTTTCTACACTATAGAATCACTTGTGGTAAGCTGGGTCTGCATCTACTGATTCAACCAACTGCTGATAGAAAATATTCAGAAAAATAACAATACAATTTAAAAAGCCAATACAGTATAACAGCTATTTACAAAACACTTACATTGTGTAAGTAATCTAGAGATGATTTGAAGGAACAAGCTGTGTGTAGGTCATAAGCAAATACTACCCCAAAAAACGGAGAAAGATGCCTGTAAACAGAATAAGAGTTAATTTCGGCGACATCCATAACAGGATATGCTATCCTGCATATGAGAATGAAGCGTATAGTTCTGAATATATCGACAAATGGTATTCTCTCTGTTGATAAACAAAGGCAACTTTTTAAAAGTATGCATCATAGCCTATTTGTTATAGAACACTATAAAATGGATGGAAAAATATCTAGAACAATACACCTAAACTGTATCATTAATACATGAGAATTCAGAAGAGCTCCTGTTTTTAAAATTGCTTGTCTGTTTTTCACTAAGTCTATACTGCTTATGTAATTTAAATGAATGAATAAAAATGAAGTACAAGAATGCTGAAAATACAGGTCCTAAAAATTTTTCTGAGGCAATTAGTTCAATAGATATATGTAAGGAAAAACTGAAAACAGATGCTTTCAATTCAGAAAAATGTAGGCGGGAAAAGGAAAGTAGAAGACAAAATAGAATTATATGCTGGCAGGAATTCATCCACACATGTATCAATAATCGCAATAGAAAGAAATTGGTTCAATTCTGCTATTAATGCTGAGGATTGGGTTTTTTAATTCAACTATATGTTTCCCATAGGAACACCTATAAAAGTAACAAAGGAAGGTTAAAAATAAGTGAGTGGTAAATCTACAGGGATTATGGTAAGCAAAAAAAAAAAAAAAAGCCAACTGAAAGCTTTTTCACTACATGATTCCACTGATATACCATTTTTGAAATGGAGGACAAATTAGTGGCTTCCAGGGACTGGAAGAGAGTGGGGGGATGATGGGTCCGGTTCTAATTTAGAAATGGTCTGTATCTCAACTGTAATAATCAGAAACCTCCAGATAGGATAAGACTGTAGAGTTTCACACACACACACAGGTAAGTACATGTAAAACTGGGGAAATCTAAGATCTGAGGGTTCTAGCAGTGTCAGTATCCTGATTGTGATATAATAGTATCATTTTGAAAAACGTCAGTGGGGAAAGCTGGACAAAGTGTATTTAGGTATGTGTCTCTATTGTTTCTTACAACAGCATTGATTAAAAATAATAAAATTTAAAAATAAATGGGTGGTACCAGAAAGGTTAAAATGAAAGACACAGACAATAGGAAAAAGTAAGGCTGTGAAGCAATTAGAATTCCTATACACTGCTGGTGGATGTATAAGTGATTTAACACTCTGGAATGCTGATTATGTATACCTACTCCTACTTATATACCAACAGACATGCATACATATATTAACCAAAAACATGTACAGAAAGGTTCATGGCAGCACTGTAACAGCCAGCAATACCCATCAACAGAATGAATTATATGCACACAATGGATTTCTAGACAGAAATGAAAACTAAACTGCTTTGTGCAACAATATAGATGAATCTCACGAACATGTTTAAGAAGCCAGACCCAAGAGAGAGACACATTGTGATTCAATAGTAAACTAATGAAGCAATCTATCCTATTACAGTCTAAAGGAGAAAGTCAATAGATTTAAAAATTCTCAACAAACTGGAGATAGAAGGCAACTTGAACTTGATAAGGACAGCTAACATCATATTTAACAGTGAAAGTTGAATGCTTTCCCTCTAAGTGCAAGTGAAAATAAGAATGTCTACACACCACTTCTTTACAACATTGTACTGAAAATTCTGACCAAAAATAACAGGAAATAATTTATAAAATTTAATAATTTTTAAAATTTTAAAACAGGATATAATTTAAACGGCGTATCATTTATAAAATAATTTATAAAATCTATAAATTTCAGAATGTAATTCTGAAAAGGATTCACACAGATTGGAAAGAAATTACTTACAGATGACACAATCATGTATGAAGAAAGTCTATTAAGCTTATGTTAAAAAGCTACTAACAGTCCTTCATATCTGAGGGGTCTATCTACTGATTCAATTAACTGCTGACGGAAAATATTCAGAAAAGTAATACAATAAAAAAAAATGCCAATACAGTATAACAGCTATTTACAAAGCACTTACTTTGTATTGGGCATAAGTAATCTAGAGATGATTTGGAGGGACAGGATGTAAGTCATATGCAAATAGTACACCATTATATATGTGGGATTTAAGCATCCACAGATTTTTGTATTGAGGGAGTTGGGTACTGAAAGATGACTAATCAATGTAGCAAGGTCACAAAGTCAATATATAAAAGTATTCCTATTTAAAATTATATTTCTATTTGAGCAAATTGTACAGTGTTATAAAAATACAAGCTACTGGCCAGGCACGGTGGCTCACACCTGTAATCCCAGCACTTTGGGAGGCTGAGGCGGGCAGATCACAAGGTCAAGAGATGGAGACCACCCTGGCCAACATGGTAAAACTCCATCTCTACTAAAAATACAAAAATTAGCTGGGTGTGGTGGGGCGTGCCTATGATCCCAGCTACTTGGGGGGCTGAGGCAGGAAAATCACATGAACCCGGGAGGCAGAGGTTGCAGTGAGCTGATATCGCGCCACTGCACTCCAGCCTAGGGACAGAGTGCGACCTCTGTCTCAAAAAAAAAAACAGCTACTGGCCAGGCTCAGTGGCTTATACCTCTTAGCATCTTAGGAGGGCTGTTTGAAGCCAGAAGTTCAGGACCAGCCTGGGCAACAAAGAGACCCTATCTCTACAAAAATAAAAATTTTGTAAAAGTTTAGCTGGACATGGTGGTATGCGCTTATGGTTCTAGCTACTTGGGAGGCATAAGGATCGCGTGGAACCCAGGAGGTCAAAACTGCAGTGAGCTAAAATTGTGTCACTGCATGCCAGCCTGGGCAACAGAATAATACCTCATCTCTAAAAAGTAAAAATTTAAACATTTTTTTAAAATGAGCTACCTAAAGATAATTTTGACAAAATGTGCAAAAGCTACACACTAAAATACAAAGCTAATAAAGGAAAAGAAGACCTAAGCAAATGCAAAGTGATACCATGTTCATGGATTGGAGTGGTTCAACTCTATAGATTAAACATCATCCCAGTGAAAATCTGAGCAAGGAAACTAAAATAGTATTTCTAAGATCTATGTGTAAAGGCAAAAGGATCAAGAATAATCAAAATAGTTTTGAAAATAACTAAGTCCTGTGATTTACACTACCTGACTTTAAGACTTAGTATGAAGCAGCCGGGTACAGTGGCTTATACTTGTAATCCCAGCATTTTGGGAAGCTGAGGCAGGCAGACCACTTGAGGCCAGCTGTTTAAGACCAGCCTGGCAAATGCAGCGAAATCCCATCTCTACTAAAAATATAAAAAACTTAGCCAGGCGTGGTGTTGCACACATGTAATCCCAGCTACTTGGAGGCTGAGGCATGAGAATCACATGAACCCAGGCAGTGGAGATTGCAGTGATCCAAGATGGAGCCACTGCACTCCAGCATGGGCAACAGAAAAAGACTATAAAGCTGCAGTAATCAAAGCACTGTGGTAACTGGCAAACACAGAGACATAAAAATCAATCAAACATCATACAAAGTCTAGAAATAGACCTGTGATATAAGTCAGGTGATTTTAACAAAGTGCCAGATAATTCATTAAGAAAATGATTTCTCAATAAATGATGCTGGAACAACTGGCTATTCATTTAGGAAAAAATGTCACATACAAAAATTTGAAATAAGTCCTAGACCTAAGCCTAAAATATAAAACCTTAAAATGTCTAGAAGAAAACAGGATAAAGATCTCTGAAACTTTGCAGTAGGCAGATTTCTTAGAACTCAAAAAGTATGAATCAAAGTGAAAAATAAATTAGACTTCATCAAAATTAAAAAGTTTTGCTCTATAAGAGACATCATTATCAAAATGATGAGGCAGGCTACAGACCAGGGGAAAATATGTGCAATATATTACCTTGCAAAAGACTTGTATCTAGCATTTATAAGGAACTCTCACAATGTGATATGATAATCCAATACAAAATGGGGAAAAGATTTGAAGGCATACATTACAAAAAAGATATATGAATGGATAAATAAGCTCAAAAAAAGATGCTCAACATCATTAGTCAAGAGGGAAATGCAAATTAAAAGCACAATGAGATACCACCACTTCACACCCACTAAAATGGCAAAACTGAAAAGACTAGCAGTATCAAGTGCTGGAGAAGATGTGAAGAAACTGGAAGTCTCAGTTGGGAACTTAAAATGGTACATTTTGAGAAACATTTTGGTAGTCCCTTTAAACATTCACTTACACAACCCAGTAATTTCACTCCTACACATTTAACCAAAAAGCATGAAAAATGTCCAGACAAAGATCTGTACATAAATGTTACAGCAGCTTCCGTCAGAATAGCCACAAAGTAGAAAAGACCTGAAAGTCCACTGACAGGTTAATGGACAAACATATTATAGCATATCTATGCAATGAAACATTACTCAGCAATAAAAATGAATTACTGACAATACAACAAGATAGATCAATCTGGAAAGCTGAGAAAAAGAAGCCAGACACAAAAGAGTTGCAGCCAGAAGGAAATGTCAGATTGCTGTCTCCTGGTAGATTAAACTAAAATTTGAGGCCTGTTTATGGTCATTTCTTTTAACATGCAGAAAAAAGCACACTGAACATAACAGTGAGTATTCAGAAGCCTCTCAATAAATTACTACAATCTTTGCTGCCAGGTTTTCCTGAGATTCACTTTTAACAGATCAATTGCCATCTCTGCTTAAACTAACTTGACTTGAGCTGCTTTCAACTGCAAACAAGAGTACTGATAAACCAAAGTCAAAAAATTTGCGGCCACTGCTATACTCATAGAAAATTTCATAGCCTGAAATAAAAATAGCTAATAGCACTTGTATTTAGTGCTTATTATATACAGGTACAGCTTTAAGTACCTACTATAGAATAACCCATAATAATAAGACGCTAATTTATGGCATAATTAGTTCCACAAATAATGTGGACAGCATATACAAGGTCAGTATCTAAGTCCATCAGCTAAGTTAATTATCGGAGAAGACTAATAGATATTTTATGCTTAGTTATATGTAAATAGTAAGCTGCCATGTAAAAAAATTCATTGCCTCCCTAGCAAAGTAAGGAGTAGAGTTTCAAAACAACTATTAAGCTAGCAAAAGTAAATGAAGTTATAAATTACAATGATCACAAAACTGGAAAAACAGGTGCAATTTAGATATATTGCTGGCAGCACTCTAAACTGGTTTTTTTCTAGAAAATAACACATCTATCAAGAGGTCCCCAGTAAAATATAAAAAAATTAAAAAAAAAACACATCTAACAAAATGTTATCAAACTGTTTTCACATTCATAAAATATCCTCAAGTTGACTAATTCTTTGCAACACATAACCCATGAAAATTACCCTAAGTAACAGTAACAACAGAAAGAAATGTGCAAAGATATCAGCATAATGCCATTTACAAGCACGTATATACCGACTAACAGAAAAGTCAAACACGACGTAGCACAGAGCCACAATGGAATAAAGCTATTCAAAGCAACAAACTTTAGGCAAAGCCACTGCAGACTAAGCTAATAATCAGAAACATATAAGGAAGCTGTAGGTCAAAATTTTAAATATATATAATTTGGATTCACTGATTACAACTATGTATAATAAAGTATGTAGGTCTGTTAATGATTAGAAATATGGAATGATACGACTTTATAATTAAATTCTTATTTGTATAAGATTGTTTAAATTCATGGTAGACAAACATAAGAGATCTCAACAATCTATCTTTTAAAAAATAGTATTTTATCTTTACATCCTAGCAACTAAATACACATTTCACAAGTTTAAGTAAAAATCCTTTTGTGTCAACTCCATAACTACTCTGTCCAATTTTATTATGAAATGTACAATGTTCATTTGTTCACCCAAGGTCTAATTAGTTTAAGGAAAACCAAATTATTTAAAAGAAAGCGAATTCTGAATATTCTTTACATTTAAGCAAACTTCTGAGAACTTTCTACATTTTTTATTCATTTAGCACAAAACATCTCCTGCAACTTAGTAAAGTATCACACATACCTGATGCAATGACTGGATCTTTCATAAGTTCTCTAGTTATTGGACATATAAATTCATCAGGAATTTCTGAAGAAAGGAATTTAACCCTGGTCCTGAGCTCTTCAATTTTCCTCAGCACTTTACTACGCAGTCCTAAAGATTCTGAAAAGAAAGTATTGTTAGGGTTGGATACCTACTAGTAATCCTTATGCAAGTCATTCACAAACAGAGTTGTTGGAGTTTTTGTTTTTGAGACAGGGTCTCACTCTTTTGCCCAGGCTGGAGTGCAATGGCATAACAATCACTGCTCATTGCAGCCTCAACCTCCTGGGCTCAAGTGATCCTCCCACCTCAGTCTCCTGAGTAGCTGGGACTACAGGCACACACCACCCCATGCCTAATCAATTTATGTATTTTCTGTAGAGATAAGATTTCACTATATTGTCCACACTGGTCTCGAACTCCTGGGTTCAAATGATCCAACTGCCTCAGCCTCTCAAAGTGCTGGGATTACAGGTGTGAGCCACCACACCCAATCACAAATAGAGATTTTATCTACTACCACCAGAAATCAATCTTCTGATATCCTGTTTTAGCACAAGGAACTATTGTTATTTTTTTATAAATTCATTAACAAATCTCTGTTTATAGAATACTGTATGATTAAAATATATCAGCAGCTAATAATTTTAAATAAACTTAGATTCTGAAAGTTCAAAAATTTCAGGTTGCCAGACATTAATATACTCTCTAAAATTAGAAAAGGCTATTACTGGTTCTTGATTCAACAAAAAATTTCCTTAAAATCATTTTTAAATATGTTTTGAGTTCAAAACATAAAAATACCATATTTTTAACTTAATGAAATTGGGTATATTTGCTGATTCTTGTAAGAAACACAATCACAAAAAAAAGCTCATCTGTATGCATGTTTCACTTGTTTGTATTCTTAATTTTAAAAAATTATCCTAATTTTTAGTTTTAGATAGTCATAATTAATTTTAGGATTTTTTTTTTTTTTGAGACAGAGTCTTGCTGTGTCACCCAGGCTGGAGTGCAATGGCGTGCTCTTGGCTCACTGCAACCTCCACCTCCCAGGTTCAAGCAATTCTCCTGTCTCAGCCTCCCAAGTAGCTGGGATGACAGGTACGCGCCACCATTCCCGGCTAATTTTTGTATTTTTAAGTAGAGACAGTGTTTCACCATATTGGTCAGGCTGGTCTCGAACCCCTGACCTCGTGATCCACCTGCCTCAGCCTCCCAAAGTGCTGGGATTATAGGCGTGAGCCACCGTGCCCAGCTAATTTTAGGAATTTTAGAATTATTGGCTGTTTACACTTTTAGAACTATATGACAGTTCTACTTGATGTTGAAGTAGGTAGAAGAATTAGATTTCAGAATGCCTTATAGTTACTAGAAAAAGCCAAACCAACTTTCTTTCTGTTGGGAGGTAATGCCCCATAATATTTATACACATCTTAGGACACCCTGTGTTTTGGACAGTTTTCTCAAGGATGTCTAAAATCATCCTTGAAAGCTAGAGATAGTGTTTCCCTCCCCAAGGAGGACAGATGTTTCCTGACCACTATAATGTCTTCCTCGTAGGGGCTATTTTGCTGGTAGCCCCCTTGTAAGACTAGGGGTTTCCCAAGCTCAGGGCTTCTCAGCTATGACACAAACATAAATCACCACCATGAAACTCAAGAGGGAAAGGGCAGGGTAGGCACAGTGGCTCACACCTGTAATCCCAGCACTTTGGGAGGATGAGGCAGGTGGATCACTTGAGGTCAGGAGTTCAAGACCAGCCTGGCCAACATGGTGAAACTCCATCTCTACTAAAAATACAAAAAAAAAAAAAAAAAAAAAAA